TATTTGTATATGTGTCTTAATACATGTCTGGTGGGGATCCCTAAGGAAACATTGACATGACAATTCTAAAGGTGTTCTGTGTTTGGTAAAAGACACGGATGGTTTACGACATTAATATCTATTTTATAACAATGTGTGCCTGCATTTCTCATAATGGTGACGACAGAACAACCCAAATCTTTTTCTCACGCAGAAACTTTCTTCATATACCATAAGTGATGCTGAATGTGTCTGCCTTGAAGCTGGTGCAGCTGTTGTTTGTACTCAGTGTATTCAGAATAACGAGTGTCTCTGTGGTTACAGTGAGGAACTACAACAGCACGCCAATATTAACTTCTCTCTTCTGGTCAGAGTGGTGTAATCTGTTATGTTCATACCAACGTAAGGCAGACACTGAATTCCCCTAAAAACTTTTATTACTAAAGGTTCAGGAGCAGGGTCACACCTGAACCACACCTCTAATCACCTGGCAGGCTACTTTCTACCCTTTCTCTTCCCTTTCATCCATTCAGCTCACCCCTACCCTATCCCTCCCTCTGCTCATCACTTCACCCTCACGCCCTTCCTATTCAATCGGTGCATACCTCTTCCACATCTCATTCCAGGTACCGTCTGGGGGCTCGAGACCGAACCCCCGCACTGAGTGTCCGTCTGCCCGACCTTCAGCACGTCGTCCCAGACCAACCTAATAGAGGACAACTTCTGCCAGCTTCATCTATTCTTAGCATCAAAACCTCCTGAATTTCCCATTAAACCTTTAAATTAAACACGGCTGTGGTGCGGTCCTTGCTAGTGAAATGAATATGAATGTGATTCCATAAATGTGGTGTTTAACATCATTTGGTTAAAGTGGGGGATTGGAAAACGCTGCAGAGTTATGAGGAAATATTCTAAAGTAGAAGTATATATTTAAGAAACAGGATTTGAAACCAAAAAGTATGACCAAAGAGCCAAAATATAACAGAATAATGATGTTTTTCTTTGAATGAATTTGTTGTGAGCACTTCATATCCTCTAGAGGGCAGACTCCTGCAATGCAACCTAAATCACCCGAAGAAGAAGAAGAAAGAGGAACAACAAGTTTCACAGCGTGCACAGTGAGGAAATAATTCTTCCCTTTTAGGAAATACTATAAAAAAATCTAAATAAGACCGCCATGTTACTTAAATGCATGTTCAGTTTGGAGACTTTAGAGGCTCAGTTATCCGCTGTAATGGAGACTCTGGTGAAAGGGGCGGCGGCGGAGCTCAGCACACTTCTGGACCAGTACCAGTGCTCGGCTAACGCGAAAGCTCCGGCCGCCAAGCAGCGCTCAGTTCCGGCTACGGTAACGTTAAGTCCCATGAAGACCGAAGAGGAGGAGAGCGAAGTGACTCCACCGGAGGAGAGGCGTCAGTGTAATAAAGCTATAACGGTAACACACACACACACACACACACACATATATATTCTTGTCTAACGTAAGAATGGGCACGCAGCGTTAACTGCTTCCGTTGGCGGTTGTACAGTTGCTAAAAAAAACTGCGTCATCATTTCAGCGAAGTGTCGGAGAAACTTTTATGTTCGTCAGTTTGACATGTAACGGTATTAAAAACTACACTACCCATGAGCCGTATCGGTTGTTGCCATGGAGAGGACGCCAGGGCGATTCAGCGAAATCCAAATTTTTGGAGTTGTTGAGATTGTTTGGTGTTCAACTATGGGTCAGCGTCAAATAACCAATTAATGACAGGTTAAAGGTCATAAAGCGCAACAACAAATCTTAACCCAAAGCAACTTTTATTCAGCTTTTACTCAAGTGAAACCATATCAATAACCTTTTTGATTTTAGGTGTCAATGGTCTTGGACTGCAAGTAGTTTCTCTATCAGTAAACAGTAACCTCTTGACTATTAAAAAAACAACAACAAATAATTGTTTAGTCTATAAAATGTGTTCAAATAGCTTTTTTTTGCAGATGGTCAACGAACAATGATAGAAAACGGGGGGAAGCAGCATCTCCTCACATTTGAGAAGCCAGAAACTTTACATATATGGCATTTTTTCATTTATAATTGTGTAGATAAGTTTTCGGTCACTCAACAAATCAGTTCATTGACTAAAAGTTCAAGCGCCATGTTTAACTCACCACTGTCATTGCTCTTACCCACGGCTTTAACAGAAGCAGTTTGCATCCCTCATGGAAGCGTGGGCCAAAGGTGCAGTAGAGAAAATAGTGATAATGCTGAAGGCGTCTATGTGTGAAGCGGAGGATGGTCCTGCTGCCCCGAGTGACAAGACGAAACAGACGAGCATGAAGACAAGATCAGGGCGAGTGGCCCGGCCCCAAAAGCGTAAGTCAGTTACTGACTGGAGTGGCTGCGGAGAGGCATTTTATGTATATTACACAAGGTTTTATATGTTTCTTTTTAAATGACAGAATCAGCGACCAGGAGCTCACGACAGAAGAGAAAGAAAATGAAGGGAGGACTGGAAGCAGCGATAAGAAAGGAGAAAGACCATATGTATTACCGAGGTATTTCCTGATGATATGAGTCCTTCAGTGAAATCAATATGAAATGCCAACCAAAAACTTCAGGTCTTCACTTACTCAGAATTCTAACGGCTGCTAAATATCTGTCACTCATTAATAAATAAATTCAATGGCGGAGATAAAGCTTTGTGCAGTTCCACGTTGGATTTGTTCCTGGCTAATAGTAGCTGTGATTGGACAGACTCAATGCTCCGTGAAGCACACTATGTTTCTGAACAGAACGTTCTGCTCTGTTTGAGAGATTCACTGAAGTTAATATCACGTTTTGTGTTTTCAGAGGAGCGACAGACTGAAGAACTAACGGCAGCAGCAGCTGACTCAGAGTCAGCCATCAAAGCTGGTAATTAATGCTTCTTTACAAGCAGAACGGATACTTCCTGTGTGTGAGAACAAGTACCAAAGTGCAGTCTTGAATATATTTGTGCAGTATACTGGAATTGTTTTTGCCATTTGCAGTTGTTGCTGTGCTCTTTTCAGTCACACTGATATTAAATATTATATTTTCTGTCATTATTTCAGGTCATTGTTTCACACTGAACCTGAAAACCCTGTTTCCCTGTCGTACAATCCAGCTGTGCTTCCTGAACAAAAACATTCAGAAATTGTATTCTAATTAGTTGTGAGTTGCTGTGTTTGACTGTGTTGGCTGTTCACATCTCACTTTGTTTCTCGTCTGCTAATGAAGCTTTTATTTTAGTTTCAGCTGACGCAGCCCCGCATGAGACTAGCTCTGGATCTCAGCCTGAAGCTACGCTAACAGAGCCCGTCTCAGAGCTGGCCTCTGATGTAAGCAGGGAAGGTGTCGTCCAGGAGGACGCCGGCACTTCATCTACCACATCCAAGATCAAAAAGAAGAAGACCACCACGGGGCCATTCAAATGCCCTTCTTGTGACAAATCATTTGCTCTCAAGTGTTTGATGGACAGACACTATCGGACTCACTCCAAACCTCACCTTTGCTCTGAGTGTGGCAAACGTTTCTCTGGACTCCAGGGGCTCATCGCACATTCAAGACGTCACACCGGAGAGAAGCTTTACAAATGCTCAGACTGCGGGACGGAGTTTGCCTACAAGTATACCCTCGACAGACACATGCGTCGGCACAGCATGAAGAAACCAATCACCCACACGTGCGCTCTGTGCGAGGATCAGTTCACCGGGCTGTCGGCGCTTCAGCGGCACAGGTGTTGTGCCTTAAAAAAGACGTTTGTGTGCTCACTTTGCCCGGAGACCTTCCAGTGCAGACAGAGTTTAGCCGATCACGAGAATCTACATTCAGGAAACCGAGATTTCATCTGCGAAGTGTGTGGCGAGTGTTTCTTCTCGTCCTCGTCCTTGGCCACTCACCGGGTGACTCACACGCAAAAGGAAAACTGCTGCGACGCGCTCGGCCTCGGATGCAGCGACCTGAGTGTCCTCAAAAACCACCTGAGCAAACACACGGGAGAAAAACTCTTCACCTGCAAGGTTTGCGGCAAAGGTTGTAGTCACCTGAGCGCTCTGAAGCACCACATGCTGACCCACACGGGAGAGAGGCCGTACGTCTGCGAGACCTGCGGCAAGCGCTGCGGCCACGCCAGCGCGCTTCAGAACCACATGAGGATCCACACCGGGAAGAAACCGGGGCAGCAGCCAGTCTGCAACGTGTGCGGCAAGAAATTCCGCTGCATGGTCAATCTCAAATACCACATGAGCATCCACACGGGGGAGAAGCCTTACGCCTGCAATCAGTGTGAGAAAAAGTTCAGCAACCCCAGCAATCTCAAGTTACACGCGATGACTCACTCGGGGGAGAAGATGTACGGCTGCAACATCTGCGGCAGGAGGTTCACTCAGTCCAGCAGCCTGAAGCTGCACAGACAGATCCACACAGGAGAAAGGCCGTATCGCTGCTCGGTCTGCGGGAAAGGATTCACACACAACAGGGACTTCAAGAAACATCAGAGGGATCACCAGCCAGACGGAGATGGAGCGTCTGAAAAAACTGCAGGAAAAATCTGAAACATTTCACGGTTGTACGCACACTCCCTGTACTTCTACGCTGACACGCTGTACACTGGACCTCAGGCTGGGCACTGCGGCGATAAATACTGTGAGATGATAGAGATTTGTCCATCGTCAAAGATCATTAAGTCCTGTTATACAGAGTTGTCAATCCCTTTCATATCCCCGGCTGCATTAGGCCATTACAGGTTTCATTGCAAGTATAAAATTCTAAATTAAACTTTGCACATCTGGTTATATTGTCTAAAAACGGTTTCTTTATCGAGCTCCCAGAAAAAAAAGAAAATAAGTTCTACACCGTGACTGAAACTTGCAGACACTACATGGCCAAAATTCTGTAGACACGCCCACATGTGGTTTTTGAGCCCTTAATTCCAAAACCAGGAACACTAACGGCTGTTCCAACTTTCCATCAGGGTTTGGAACCTGGCTCACAGTGGGTGTGGAAGTCAGTCAAGTTCTTCTTCACCAAAGTAGGAAAACTTTATGGACCTAGAGGTGTTAGATGGGGTTGAGGTGCATGGGAGGGCATTGTTATCCTAAAACAGTCTTCCCCAAACTGTTACTGTTACGCCCACTCCTAACTGGAGTCTTGCATTATTGGGAAGAATTGAGAACCATGTTGTTCACATGCTGTTCCAGAAAATGACACAGACATGTTCAAGCAATGTAGCTTTCCCCGGACTGCCTACAACATATAAATAAAGTACCCAGTGTGTTCAAAAGGACTTCTCAGAAGTTGTGTAAATGTTGTTAAAGTTTGTTCCGGGCTGTTTTCATTAGTAGCTGTTGACTCCTCTCTTTCTTAAAGCAGTGCTCAGTTTCATTTAGTTTCTTTTCACTTGATTGGTTTTACTGGAATCACACAAATTACTTACATGTGGGTAATTTCCTTTGTTATTAAACAAAGGAAGGGGAGGAGGGGGTAAATGAGCTCAATAAGGGAAGCAGATAACCTCAGCTAATTAACACTTCATCGTGCCCGAGACCTTGTATCACAGCACTTGTATATAAGTACTGGGCAGGCAGGGCGCCTTAGAGCAACGCTGGGATTCTGGCAGGAATAGTCAGTTTATTGAAGTTTTATGAGTAACAGTAGCTTAATGTATACTGGGTGGACATCACTGGGTGTCACTCTAACAATACTTGAAGAAATGAGTGAACAGTTTTACACTAAGATATCTGTTTGCTCCATCAATGTGTGAAATACATGAAAGATACACTCCCTGATTGTTTTACAGTTCCCCTAATCCTGCCATTTCCTCCCAGCCCACTGTTGACGTTTACAATTTAAAATTAAATTGAATTTAGTGGCTTATAACATTTTTTTTTATTTTTTTTTACATTTGGAATCATTATTTAAAAGAGAACTTCATTTTTTGGGAAATAGAATCTGCTTTCTTGCAGGGACTTGGATAAGTAGACCATCCCATTATTGTACAGTTATTATAAAGCTATACCAGCAGTTTAGCTTAGTTTAAGAGGGGAAACAGCTAGCCTGGCTCTGTCCAAAGGTAATAAAATCCACCTACCAGCACCTCTAAAACACTCTAATTATATATCGTTTGTTTAATCCACAGGGTTTATGGGCCCGTTATGTTGTGGTATCGTGTAAAACTACAAACCATTAACACCCTGTGAAACCACTAACTTCAAAACAAAATAAACCGTGTTCATTTTTTAGCTTTAGAGATGCTGGTAGTTAGGTCTTTATGCTAAGCTAAGCTAGAAAAATGTGTACAGGACATTGTATTGTGTTGTCCCAATCTACCAGGATCATCAAAATGAGGAAGAAAACACTCGAGAAAGGCTCTGGAGCAGCTAGATGGTGTTTCCAAAGAATTTTCATCATCAGAAATGGTTAATTGTGTGAATCCAACCAAAACTATAAAAGGAAGTTACTGTGTTCTGTGAAGTATCCACTAGATGGTGGTAAAGGATCAACCTACACACAACTGCAGTTAACATGAAGCTCGAAGCTACCTCAGAGATACACACCATCAACAGGTATGCATACTGACAGCCATCCTTTATTTTGCCTTTATGTTAAAAAACATCTTTCTTACAAGTGTATAAAACCTTTACTACTGTACTAATTCATTTTTCAAGAGGATGGGACCTCACTGAGAGACTTTATTCCCAGATTTGATCAGCAGGTTTATGGGGAGATTTAAATGGGAGAGTTGTTTTTGTGTGAGTTCTGACTTTATATGTATTTGTCATGTTTGTTTTATTCATTTGTTCAGTTTTTCACATTGAATACATATCACGGAACAAAACCCTTCTCAGCTTTTCAAGTTTTTGTATCTTTGTAAAGGAAACAAAGATAAAAAATAATAAGTCACATCACAACAAAAGCAAAGCATCACAAAGAAAATGCACAAAAACAGACAGCAATTTAAGCAATTTTTAAAAATCAATCAAGAATAATCACTTAAAAATTTTTTTAGAACCTCTGAAAACTGGATTAGATCGATATTCATTATCTGTCTCTCTCCAAAAAGTAGCTGCATGAAGAAATGAAGTCAGTCTGAGAAAACTGAAACTAAACCTTTGTCCTCACATGAAACTTGCTTGGGGAAGAGCTGAGTGTTGCTTGTGGCAGCGTCAGCTGTTTCCCTGTGTGACTCCGTCTAAGGCTGCACTGAGCCGGTCGCACACCTCTAATACCAGTTTATTGCGCTGTGCTTAATGCTGCTAAGAATTCAGTGTTTTTACGGAGATTAAGCTCCCGCTGAGGTGAAGTTCTCTTTGCAGTAGTTCCTCATTTAGTTTATTATTAGAAGTGTTAAAAATAATGATAACAGGAGAAAAAATGTATATACATATAGTAGAACTATATTTCATGACATTTTAAAAGAGAGCAAAGCTCTCTAAGGATGGTAATGTCAGTCTGTTGGTCTACCGCTGTATATACATATTCTTAATATTTTTACATATTTTTTGTGTAAAACACAGAGGAGCAGTTATAGTAACCTAAGTATAAAAAAATACGACATAATAAAGACCAAGTGCTCACTGTGATTTGCCCTTAGATGTAATTTCAGAGTGTTTTTGCAGAGTTTAGAAGACCCCTCAGTAATGGTCTTTGATGTCAGGTCGCAAATTGGAAAGTTGTCACCCATGAATGTTCCTTGTGGACAAAATGGCAGGAATTTCATTAAACTACTGGAGCTGATTACCTTGCGTGACGGTATTCCTAATCCGTGCTTGTTGTGTTTTAAATGGAGTGGGCTGTGAATGGCACTGCTATTAGCCTAACAGTCACATTAGCAACAGTTGTGTGAAGCACTTCAAAAGCATGTTGTGAAGCATATTTTGCACGATGCAACATCTTGTCACCAAATTTTAATTAGCCAGACAACGTCAATTGATGCCTGCTTTGTGTCCAGCGTGAAATAAAAGGGTCTTTTTTTAATTCACAAGAGCAAAAACACAAAAGCTGCTACCACGTACGTGCATACATCCGTGCATTCATACATTCACACAGACACAGACACTTGACTTCCATGCCAAATTACAGCTTCCTTGGGCAAAAACTGGCCACCAAAGGCTGGAGAAATGTTTGTGGATAGAGCCGCTGGTCGCACCTAATAATTAAAACTTAAGCCAAAAAAGCATTGTACCCTAGTTAATCAAACAAGTGCAATATGTTGGACTCCCAGCTGCATGGTTGTGGGAAGTAGTCAAATCTGGCATCATAAAAATCATAATTTCCTAAAAAAATGTAAACTTATAATAACTTTTTTATTGGGATTTACACGTGTAGTACACCAGTATTTATGGCATATGAGTTCTCCGTTGAGTGAATTTGCATCGATCCATCTATAGGCTTGTTTCCTGCATGAAATGGCTGACTGTATCCTCACTGTCTTACATTATTATAACTATATTATTATATAACCTGGTTATGGGTCACATGTCCACATCCATACACTGCCTCACTCCCTCTTCCTCTCCTTGCAAGTGCTCATGCATTAGTGTTCTGACAAAAGGCTGTTCATTGGGTGCATATGCCAAAGAAGTAAAGTGTGACTTTCAGAGGTGTTTATTCACCATTTTACAGTTTTAGAATCATCAGGTATGGGAAAAATGGTGGATGTTCTTCATGTGATCCTGCACTACCAAATGTGGCCAAAATCACCTCACAGCCCAGCACTGTTCCTGGGGCCTTGATCCCCATAATCAACCATATTGCACCATTGATCTGTTTGCATACGCGCACAAGTTATTGCTTCAGTTCATATTAGAAACGGCAGCAGCGTCGATACCTTCAGATGAACCGCCTGCTGCCTGCCAGGCTGACCTCCAGCAACTTTCATTTCTCATCCGCTGTGGCTCCTTGCGTGTTGTCTAACTGTGATTAATGGAAGACCGTTTCAGGGGTCACTACCTGGACGGTCAGCTGGAGCCGCGTGGTGACAGAGTGTCACTGACAGCACAGTGATGAACTGTAGGAACGGAGAACAGGCAATCAGCATGCAGAGGTGCTTTCCTCTGATCGTTCGATCCAAGGTCCAGATTTAGTCGCACGGGTAATCATACCTTCGCTGTCAGAGCTCCTGCACTCCAGAGAGACCTCCCTGTAGAGATCAGGGAAGCAAATACAGTTTGTTGCTTAAAGCCTCTTAAAGTACTTCTACAAATTAATGTAGCCTTCTTAATTTAAATAATGATTCTTTTATTAATTGATTATTTCACATAATTTATCTAATAAACTGTTTGTTTTCCTTTGTGTACAGCACTTTGTACTTGTGCAATTTGTAATAAAGTTAATTGACAATGTAAGTGGGATGAATTAATAGATGGATGCAGTTTGCCTTGTAATCCTGGAGAGAGCTCCACTATCAGCTTGTCCTATAGCATGCCCTGTTGACCTGTCAGGAAACTCAGCAAGTAATGTTATGCTGTTTACTCCGAAAATGGAGGACACTAGCGAGCAAAGCATGGAGCAAAGCTTTCCTGAGCGGACAGTCGCAACACCGAAGCATCTTCAGTCGACTTTGTACAAAGCCGCTGTCTAACTCTACAATGACAACAAATCTGTGGACTCACTTGCTAACGCTAGCTTGCCACGCAGGAGGCAGCGAAGCAATGTTAAATGTACAACCTCGTCTCAGTTTCAGCGGGCCCCTTGCCTGAAAAATGTCTCATAAAAATGTTATATGTGCGGCTATGCGCCCCATTGTTGTGGTAGGAGTGAAATTCTTATCTTTTACTGTAGTCGAATTGATTAGAACAAATTTTGTGTCATTTCAAATTCCTTCCAACTTGATTTTTGGAACAAGTGACAGCTCTAATGCATATATTTATATGTATGTATGATTGAAGAGTGAATGAATAGATAATGAGTGGATGGATGGCTAATGGATTGATGGCTGGCTGGATCTTGTATGTGGAGTGCTGTCACAGTCCACAGAACCAGATCAATGTGCGTCACCTGACTGGACATGTGACTGTGTGAGTGTGAGAGCAGAATGTGATCAATCAATCGTGGGGCCACAGCTCACTGACATGATGACTCTGACCTTGGATAGACACCATTAATTAAACTCTGTCCAGCTCTTTATCACTCACTGCTCCCCCTCATGTGGACGGCCTATCAGTCAGCAGCAGGCCGTCAGCAGTGAGCGGGATAATGTAAGCGTTCAGCGTGCTTACATCACTGCATTATGCAACATTATCAAACATATGTGGGTCGAATTGTAAACAGCAGGTCGAGCTCAGAGCTGAAC